AAATGATGACTTTTGAGCTGGGAGGGACCTAAGAAATAATCATTTAGTCCTAACTGCTCCCCGAAGCAAGGTTCCAAACCAAGAGTCTCCTGCTGGTTAGAGCTGGAGCTAAGAGTCCTGGGCCCTGTCTCCCAGTCAAAGCTTAAGTCCCTGAGTTTTCTGACTTCCATTCTTGGAGAACTGAGCTCAAAACTCTTAGCCCTGGTGCTTTGTTCCCCACTTTAAATCCACCTATCCTCTCTGACTGTCTCCAGAAACCAACCAGAGGAATATCAGGAGGGAAGGAGAAGGAGAGGTAGGAAGGGAGCCTTTCCATCCAGTTCAAGATTTGGTGACTCACTATGAAAAGACTCGGCCGTGCTTCTCTTTTTTCTCTAGGCCTCTCCTAACTGTGCTCTTTTTTTTTTTTTTTTTTTGCGGTTCGCGGGCCTCTCACTGTTGTGGCCTCTCCCGTTGGGGAGCACAGGCTCCGGACAGGCTCAGCGGCCGTGGCTCACGGGCCCAGCCGCTCCGCGGCATGTGGGATCTTCCCGGACCGGGACACAAACCAGTGTCCCCTGCATCGGCAGGCAGACTCTCAACCACTGCGCCACCAGGGAAGCCCCTAACTGTGCTCTTGACCTCACCTTTCTCCTCCTCTTGCCCCATCAAAATCCCCCCCCCTTTTTTTTCTTTGGTATCTTCAAATTCTCCATGTTCGTTGATTCCTTCTCATGAGACCTACAAATATGATCACCTTTCCCTTAATAAAAATGTTCCCTTGGCTGTGTCTCTCTTAAGGTGGCCATCCACTTCTTTCCCTTCAGGATTTTTTTTTTATAGTCCATTATTAGAGGATATTATATTTAACTATGTAAAAGAATTGAAGGATGGTATGAAATAATATATAATTAAATGCCAAAACGTATACATTATAAGTCCAGCCTGATAGTAAGCTATATTAAAATATAGTCATTGGTAGTTCAGGAAAAAATGTGATTTTGACCCATTTACAGCTCTCCTAAGTATTGTAGTTTTTGAGAGGGTCTGAAATTAGATAAGATGTCTGTCTGGGAGGGAGGTAGAAGGAATTTTTACATTGGAAAGAGGTATGATCTAGATGACTAGGATCTAGGCTTTTATGATTATATGGTACATTTTATAATTCTGTGATATGGAAGCATATGCTTGTGCTTTTTTCATAGTCAAATAAAAGATATCATATACTTTCAAAAAAGGGCAAATAAAAATATAGGTAATTCTTATGTCAGTTATCTCTGTCTTCAACAATATTTAATAGAATTTTTCCCTCCTTATTGATGGAAAATATTTTTATATATAATATTAATGAGATATATAAATGTGACCACTCAGTAATGTCTTTGGAAATAATATAGTCGGTTCTGTCTTTGAAGTATAGAAACTGCGCTAATATCTCAGCGTACGTTCATACGTACATACATAATACATACATGTATTTTGATAGCTCATCTCTTCCCCCCAAGACCAAAAACCTCAACAACTGTACCACAATACCACATGCAACCACTGTGGGAAGAGTCCTTTGGGTATTTTTTTTTTGTTGGTGGTTTGTTTGAAGAAAGAAAAAAAATCACTTGTTAGGGGCTAAACAATTTCTAGAGCTTTCTCTCAGGCATGAAATTCGAGTTGATGTGCATGTGTGTATTTATGGGCAGAACAGGCTGCATGTGTGCCAAGAGCAGCAAGCTTTACGCTAACTATTCCCAACTTCAGATGCCTTAGGCTGAAGAGAGCAGAGGGCAAGAAGCGGTGACATCCAGCGATGCCACATGCCATAAGCACACGATCTAGCACCTGCAGCCTCTCCTACCTGCTCACAGCCTTTTGCTTAGTATTGTCCTTCCGTTTTCTTCATTTGGGATTTTTAGCTGTTGTCTGAGAGTTAAGTAAAATGCTTGGAATTGGAAAAAGGAAAAGCTGATAACAGGAAAATGCAGAAATATGTTGAAAACCTTGGTGCTTGAGGAAATGGGTCCTTAAACATCGCTCATGAATATGGAGCCATCTCTTTCGTTTTCACACTGCCCTGGGGACACGCCAGTGCTTTACCACTTTAACCTGGGAATGAGAGAGAGAGTGGCTTCTGGATGCTTAGGTCGTGTTTTCTTTGGCAGGGTCTCCTGCAATAGCTTTTCGCTTCCCAAACGTGGCTTGCTGGACTTGCCTCCCCCTCTGCTTTCTCTCCCAGGTTCTCTCGATGTTGTGGTTTCTATATTCATGGCATATTTAGATTTTTCAGGCATCTGCCTCAAGAGTATGATTGGATAAGCATCAACCAAGTGAGATGTACTTTTCTCAGAGAAGATACAGATTCCTTAAGGGACTAGGGCTAGGGATTATGGCCAGGAGCAAGGAGAATACAGTTTGTAGAAAGAACACTGGACTAGGAGTCCAGAGACATTTCTGTCTCCATCAAGACTGACTTGTAAGTTTTTGGCCTCGGCTAAGAAATTTATCCTGTCTGTACTGCGGTCTCGCTATCTGAAAAGATTGCATGTGAAGTCCCTCTGAGAACTAATGTGAAGAATCTTAGAGAGCATCTTACTGTTTTTGATTTAGAGGCAATTGGCATGATTTATGTTCCCTTCATACCTTCGAAGAAGAATCTGAGAATCCTAGAGCTGGAAGGCATCTCAGAGAGTCTTCTACTTTTTCAACCTCTGGGATAAACCCAGACACTCTGATTTTCTTCGTTATTATCATTACACCATCTGAATAAGAGACCTTGACATTTTCAAAGAAATGTAGTGTTTAGGACAACAAGGAAGTTGAATCAGAACTTGTTTTATCTCTTATCACTTAAAACAGGGTTGCACAATGAGATACCCTCTAGAAGGGCTAGCCTGCGAACCAAAGTGAGGTCAAGAGAGTGGTGGGAGGATCACAGGGAGTGTGTGTGTGTGTGTGTGTGTGTGTGTGAGAGAGAGAGAGAGAGAGAGAGAGAGAGAGAGAGAGACTGGGAACACATACTCTGCGTGCATGGGCAGACACTCCTGATTTTTAAAACACCAGTTGGGCACAGTATAACATGCGTCTCAGTGGCAAAGGGCCATGTTGGTAATGGACAATGTCTTACTGAAAACAACACATTTGGGCTTCCCTGGTGGCACAGTGGTTAAGAATCCGCCTGCCAATGCAGGGGACATGGGTTTGAGCCCTGGTCCGGGAAGATCCCACATGCCACAGAGCAGCGAAGCCTGTGCGCCACAACTACTGAGCCTGTGCTCTAGAGCCCGTGCTCCACAAAGAAGAGTAGCCCCTGCTCGCCGCAACTAGAGAAAGCCTGTGTGCAGCAACGAAGACCCAACACACCCATAAATAAATAAATAAATAAATAAATAAATTTATTTAAAAAAAAGAAAACAACACATTTGTATTATTAAGAATTATATGTTGGGGAATTCACCAATTTACATAATAAAACATAGTCATGAAAGATACATGGAAACTGTTTCACTTACAATATCTATGCAGTCCTCCTTCTAACAGGCTTCCCTCTTTCCACACACCTTAATCCCCCATCATTCTCCTTAAAAAATGTTTCTTTTCCCAAAATTATTAATTCTTACATGTTTTCTTTTCTTATGTACTAAAATTTATTATAAAGATCTTTTAATGTTGATTGGTCAGTCTTCTACGCCCCCAACAGAAGTACTTGTTTTGAATATTCCTTTAACTATTTTCCAGTGTTTAATTCCTCTTCCCACAAAGAACTTGATCAATAAGTCTAACCTGAATCATCACCTGAAGTCCCCTGTCTCACATTTTATTGTTTATAGAAGGAATAGTTGATCAGTGGTTCTCCTTGTAATACCCTTCATGTTACTCAGTTGAAAATATAGCCTCTTTTTTTTTTTTTTTTTTTTTTTTTTGAATCTTTTGGTACTACAAGTCTGGAAACTTTATCATGGACTTTGTTTTCCAGTGCTCTGGTAATTATAATGTAATTACTTTTCTCTGAACTCTCTCTAGTCTGTACACTAAACAAATAACATTTTGAACTGTCCCCAGTCCTTTTTTGGGCTGATGAATCTAAGATAATAATACCAGTATTTAGTGCTTTTGTCAGAGAGTTAGCACCACACAACTGGATCACATTGCCTGTATACTCTATGACCCCAGTATCTTTTTTTCTCCCCACTGGCCCTGTTGGAGTCAGGCTTTCTTCATATTTTGTCCACATAACTCATTTTTCATTGATAAGTGCGCTGCTGCCTTGTCCTCACACCAAGTAAGCACTCTCTTGTTTTTGATGGATCATTTCTATCTGACTTGTCAAGGTTACTTGGAATTCTCTTATTTTTCAGGAAAGCTGGAAACCTTAACTTAGGTTGTAGCCATGAAATGACTGAGAATGCTTTCTATTCCATTATGACAGTCATTGATTAAAATAATTGGTATTATTGGACCCAGGAGCCTGGGTGCTGTGTTATAACTCCCCTAAGTTACATCAAGGCATTTATTTCAGTCACTATTAACTAACGATTTTCCTGTTTCTGGGTGTTTCTACACACCACTAACATTGCTATCATAGTTTATTGCTTCTGGAAACTAGATTTGAGTGATACGGAATAATAATCTAGGGGGTTGTGGTTGGTGATAGTGGAGAGAATAAATCCAATAATTGTTTAATTTATTCATGTAGCTTTGGTAGCATCATTATTTTATATATTTAGTAGCAAAGTGAGAGAAAACAGAAGAAAGGCTTTAGGTTGAGTATAAATGTCTACTTTGTTGATATTTTGCTCAGTGTTAGATTTTGAGAATGTCTGTGTTTTGATTTTAACTTAAATCGGTATCCTATTTAATATATGAATGTAATGGGATGCATTTTTTGTTATTGTCATTACAGGTTTTGAAGGTGACAACGAAATGTGAAGAAGTTACATTTCTACTGTGACACTTGAAAGTTAGTGACTGCTTACCAAATTTTCATGAAAATTAAATATGACTTAGAAGCATTTCGTTTTTGAAGGCTTATGATGTCATCGGTTGCGACAGAAGGCAAACTCCGGCAGGCTGTGAGCTTGCAGGGAGTTGACCCAGAAACATGCATGATTGTATTTGAAAACCACTGGGCGCAGGTAATGTATGAGTTCCACCTTCTCTGCTGGTTAGGTAGCCCTAGAAGCCTCTATTGCACTGAACCAGGGTTCCCAACCTGTGTGACACGTGGGCTTCCAGAAAACATAGGGAGGAAACCCTTTCAGGTAGGAAGAAAAGCAAATTTCTCTGCTTGCATTCCTAGAATAGGTAGTTGGTTAAAAACCTTGGTTTTCACGAAAGCAATTAGGAGACATGCATGTTCCTCAGATATTTTTTATAAGAGTAGCAGTTGACCTTCAAGTGACTTGTCCTTCACTTTGCAATACACTTGACCATGAGTACATCCTCTTTCTTTCCCTCCTCCCTGCTGATTTCCATTCAGTCCTTAAACGCTACCAATACTAAAATACATATTTATTAAATATTTGCCAAGTGCTGTGCCGAGTTCATCAAATACCTTATATTTAATCTTCTCCGCAAACCAGTAAGGCAGTTGGTTTTAGGTTCCTCATTTTACAGATGAGGGAATGGAAAATTATAGAGGTTAAATAGCTTGCTTGAGATTATACGACTAGTGAGTTTCCAATCAAGTACTGAGACCTTGGTCCCATGACTCCAAGACCAGCGTATTTGACCTCTGTGCTCTAGCATTTTTCAGGCTGGTGGTCCCTATTCATTTAAAGAAAGAAGGTGCCTGGAAGTATCTGAATTCATTACAAAGCTGATTATAAAAGTTGTTTTGATTATTCATTTTGACTTCTCTGTGACTCTTCTCTGATCTGCTTGTATGAATAATTAAGTGTTGAATGGTCAGGAAACTTACCAGCTGGCCCCTTTCCTCAGGGAGTTTACAAGTAGTAAAATAAATAAAATTGGCATTCTTTACTACTTGTACAACATTACACTCCCCAGGTGAGCTGGTAAGTGGCTATTTATGTGACGGTTTTTTAATGACCACCCAGTTCCTTCCTGTGGCCGGAAACAGCCCATGGGTTAAAGCATTGAGCCTGTAAATCACAGCAATTGTAAGGGGACACAGTTTAGATAAAAAACAAAATCAGTTCTGCTTCTGGGTCATTTACACTTTGTGGCTTCTTGTCAGTATCCAGTGTAAAGCTTCCAAGATTTTTTTATGCATTTCCCCTTCTCTGACTTTTTACTGTTATAGTCTTAATGGGTTTGCTTTGGATATTAAGGGCACATCTGCTTTAGCAATGGGAAGAAAGTAATTCAGGAATTTTCCAGATAATTAATTAGTGCCGATGCGTACCACCCTCTGTTTAATGCAGAAAAATATTGAGTTGAGGGTAAGGATTACTTTGTCAGAGGGATTGGGGTTTAGTTTATTAAACACTTCCTTTCATAAAGTGGGTACACTCTTGGTCTCATTATCGTTTCAGCCATTTCTTTAACTTTGGCCTAGTTTCTTACCCCTTTAGTCTTAATTTTTCCTTTTAAATAAATCTGGAAAATGCCCTCAGTCTCTCTCTAGTTCCAAAGGCTCTTGAGGGCCTTACTGTTACCTTTATGAATAAAAATACTGGTTGAAGAAATTCATGTCGATGTCAATGTGATTACAGTCATCCCTTGGTGTCTGTGAGGTATGGGATGATTTCCAGGACACCAGCAGATACCAAAATCTGTGGATGCTCAAGTCCCTTATATAAAATGATATTTCCGTATAACCTACGCACATCTGCACATCCTCCAAATCATCTCTAGATTACTTATAATATCTAACACAGTGTAAATACTATGTGAATAGTGTAAATGCGATGTAAGTGCTATGTAAATAGTTGCCAGTGTGCAGCAAATTGAAGTTGTGCTCTTTGGAACTTTTTGAAATTTTTTTCCAAATATTTTCGATCCATGATTGGTTGAATCTGCAGGTGCAGAACCCGCGGATACGGAGGACCAACTGTATTGTTAAATGGAGATTTACTGAGCCCAAACTTCAGCTACCTCACTGTGGGCATCACAGGTGGGACGTAGAAATGTATAAGCCTTCCTTTGGGCTTTTAAGGAATGTATAAGCTGGTTTGGATGACAACGTGAGATACATTATTATAAAATGAATAATATTGATCACAGGAATTAAGTCAAGGGAAGGGACTATTACAGATGGAAATGGCCTGTGAAATCCGGGAAGTGGGATTTTGTTAGCTTGACTGTGGGAAGAGGATTTGATGACAGAAAGGAAAAGAACATTTTAGAGAAGGGGTGTTAGGACCAAATGCTCAGCTTTGCCTTTTTTGGATGGTTAGAAATAAAAAAGGTGAGGAAGTCAGGGCAAGGCAGAGCTGTGGGGCTAAGTTTGAGGTAAGGAATGAGACTTTCAGCTGATAGAAGTAAGGGCTACTTATTGTTTTTGGAGTTTCATGCATTAGCGCTTTGCTGTCAGTTGTTCAGGCTGGGGGCGGATGAAGAGCAGTTGCAGAGGGTTGGGAAATGAGCTACAATCTGACACAAACTTCTGTGACTAGTGTGACGTAGCCCCCGGGTTCCCCTGAGGCAACCCAAGAAAACTGTAAGGCTGGTAGGAAATGTGTAGACAGAACTGGGTGACAGCATTCTATTTACCAGTGTTCCATTAGCTGGCAAGTACCATGCTTTTTCAGATGTTAAGTTAGGGAAAATGAAGGCAACAAAAGTCAGTGGTGTCCAAAGTGCTTCTGTTTGTTAGGATACTTCAGGACAAATTCAGCATAATTAACATATATTCGGCAGGTTCTGTTCTCCTGTTCACTAGGAGCTTCTATTTCAGACCTTGAGTCGTGGTCAAGGATACCCGCTTACCCACCTACACTTCGCAGTCTGTCAGGGACAGCTGGTTATACAGCCATCCATCATCCGAGGCACCATCTGAGGCAGTCCGAGATTCAGGGGCGGTCGCCGGGGAGAGACCTTGAGTGGCCCAGTGGTGCACTTGAGTTTCCAAACCGGTCCCTGGGTCCAGTGCTCTCACGTTATCCTCAGAATAGTTCTATAGTGGACATCCAGGAATAGTTAACATTGGAGAATCCAGGCTCCAGGAAGTAGCCTCTGGCCTGTACGTCCTCTTGTCTTCTGAGCTGCCATCTTGTGCTGTAGTAGACAGAGCAACGAA